TAGTGGTGCAGTTAAGTGGTCAACTAGTGGTGCAGTTAAGTGGTCAACCAGTGGTGCAGTTACGTGGTCAACTAGTGGTGCAGTTAAGTGGTCAACCAGTGGTGCAGTTTAGTGGTCAACTAGTGGTGCAGTTAAGTGGTCAACTAGTGGTGCAGTTAAGTGGTCAACCAGTGGTGCAGTTAAGAGATCAACTAGTGGTGCAGTTAAGTGGTCAACCAGTGTGCAGTTTAGTGTTCAACCTGGGGTGCAGTTACGTGGTGAACTAGTGGTGCAGTTAAGTGGTCAACTAGTGGTGCAGTTTAGTAGTCAACCAGTGGTGCAGTTTAGTGGTCAACTAGTGGTGCAGTTAAGTGGTCAACTAGTGGTGCATGTTAGTGGTAAAATAGAAGTGCAGTTAAGTGGTCAACTAGTTGATATTTTGGATCATTCCGTTCAATTAAATAACAGAAATGCCCCAGAGAAAATCCTAACATAATTTTGATTTACTCCACAGTGATTCTTTCAATGACGTAAGCTTACAGTCAGGTACCACAAACATCAGACAAAAACATGCACATCACAAAACTATGATTGTTGATAAAAATGGTTTATTGCAATAGACAGACATTTTCCAAGCCCGAAGGCGTAGGCTTTTAGCCACTACATTTACGTAGTGCATAGCGGTCACATATAATATTATATGTCACAAAATGAACAACCTCTAAATGGTTTCACATAATGTTACTAAAGACTTAATTAAACAAAAAATAACATCACATATAATTAAAAAAAGAGTATAGTCATAGTTGATGTTTATAGAAATCGTTCTAAATATAGAAACGGAACAACTTGATATCTAAATACAGTCAAACGGAAATAGCTTGATAATTATGACGTGAGGGGCTTCAAATAGTGGGGGTGCTTCCGGTGATGTCACGTGAGATTTAGGGTCGTGAATAAACCAATGGAAAAAAGGGTGGGGGGGGGGAATGGCGATGGGGTAAATGGGTGCATACTGAGGGTTGGAACCTGGGGTTAGAGATGTGATGTGTAAATAAGGGAGTATTATCAATCAGCCCTATCTATAGATGTTGATTATGCTTCATATTAGAACAATGGGGTTACATTATACAAAAATAAACATGATTAAATAATAGAGAACCAGGCGGCGTGAAGTTTGACAGTTACACAGAGTGACAGTGACACAGAGTGACAGTGACACAGAGTGACAGTGACACAGAGTGACAGTGACACAGAGTGACAGTGACACAGAGTGACAGTGACACAGAGTGACAGTGACACAGAGTGACAGTGACACAGAGTGACAGTGACACAGAGTGACAGTGACACAGAGTGACAGTGACACAGAGTGACAGTGACACAGAGTGACAGTGACACAGAGTGACAGTGACACATGCTGGATATGAAGACAGCCGAGGCGAGTACACTGAATTAGGGTCAGATCATCCATGGGGGGGAGGGGGCATGATGTCCCCAGGGCCCCAACATGTCGTAATCTGGTCCTGCATTGGATGTGGCAATTGAAACAGACTGCCCCGTGGTCATTAAGACATTTGGGGTGAGGGGGGGAGTGTGGAGAATAACGATTTATTGAACAGTTAAGAAGGGGGGCGGTATGGAGGACGTTAAGATTTATCGATCTCTCAGGTTAAGGCCATTTATTGAGCCTCCCTGGAACAAGCAGGTGAAAAGCAACTTTCCGACCTTTACCTGGCACGGGCAGCAGTAATGCCCTACATCCGGGGCACTTCAAGGTTGAAAGATGAAACACATAATCGCTATGCCATAAACGCTGTCACACAAATGACAATGTTTTAGGTTTTGTTTTTATAATAAATTTATCCCACATCTAGTACAATGATAAACTGAATATAAACACATGTCATGCACTGGTGAGATATCTTTCTGGAAAGCTTCATTTCATTTCAAACAAATAAATAAATGTACACTTAGTGTAACACAATTACATCCCACTCCAACAAACGAAAAAAACAACAAAAACACACACACACAAAAACATACACAACTTAGGTTTACGATCCATGCATAGTAAGAGTATGCTGATAACTGATTGGTATGCTGATAATTGATTGGTATGCTGATAATTGATTGGTATGCTGATAATTGATTGGTATGCTGATAACTGATTGGTATGCTGATAACTGATTGGTATGCTGATAACTGATTGGTATGCTGATAACTGATTGGTATGCTGATGAAGACACGCACGTAAAAAAGTATCCAGCGCCTACATCATGGTTATTCCTGTCAAATAAGACTTGGCTCTATGTAAGGTTAAAAAAAAAAAAAAAAAAAAAAAAAAAATAGCAGCAGCCTATCTAGCAATTGAATATTGCCTACCGTTATTGCAAACAACTTCCATCTGAATTGCAGATTAATTCTCATTGTAGATTTTTAAAGAGGTTAAGCAGGCCATGAAGGTAGGCGAACAATTGATAACCACAGTGGTTTAGGCCTTGAAGGTAGGGAAACCGTTGATAAACCCAATGGTCTAGGCCTTGAAGGTAGGCAAACCGTTGATAAACCCAGAGGTCTAGGCATTGAAGGTAGGCGAACCGTTGATAAACCCAGAGGTCTAGGTCTTGAAGGTAGGCAAGCCGTTGATAAACCCAGAGGTCTAGGCCTTGAAGGTAGGCAAACCGTTGATAAACCCAGATGTCTAGGCCTTGAAGGTAGGCAAGCCGTTGATAAACCCAGAGGTCTAGGCCTTGAAGGTAGGCAAGCCGTTGATAAACCCAGAGGTCTAGGCCTTGAAGGTAGGCAAGCCGTTGATAAACCCAGAGGTCTAGGCCTTAAAGGTAGGCAAACCGTTGATAAACCCAATGGTCTAGGCCATGAAGGTAGGCAAACCGTTGATAAACCCAATGGTCTAGGCCTTGAAAGTAGGCAAACCGTTGATAAACCCAATGGTCTAGGCCTTGAAGGTAGGCAAACCGTTGATAAACCCAATGGTCTAGGCCTTGAAAGTAGGCAAACCGTTGATAAACCCAATGGTCTAGGCCTTGAAGGTAGGCAAACCGTTGATAAACCCAATGGTCTAGGCCTTGAAAGTAGGCAAACCGTTGATAAACCCAATGGTCTAGGCCTTGAAGGTAGGCAAACCGTTGATAAACCCAATGGTCTAGGCCTTGAAAGTAGGCAAACCGTTGATAAACCCAATGGTCTAGGCCTTGAAGGTAGGCAAACCGTTGATAAACCCAATGGTCTAGGCCTTGAAAGTAGGCAAACCGTTGATAAACCCAATGGTCTAGGCCTTGAAGGTAGGCAAACCGTTGATAAACCCAATGGTCTAGGCCTTGAAAGTAGGCAAACCGTTGATAAACCCAATGGTCTAGGCCATGAAGGTAGGCAAACCGTTGATAAACCCAGAGGTCTCAACACTTCAGGTCTTCTTTAAGAATTGAGCTTCCAGTTTCTACCAGTTTTGCATAAAAATGATAATTGAAAAATTCCTTTTTCCACAATCAACGCATTTCATTTACTAACAGTCGACCTCAATTTTTAAGGAATGGACAAAGTTAACATGAATCAACATAGGTGGAAATACAGCTGCTGACTTATAACAAAACCAATCAAAGTATTGTTCATTTACTGATCAAAATCTTTCTTTGGTGCAACTCACATGTAACTAATTAAACATGAAAATACAGTTATCTACAAATGGAGGTTGGAGTATTTGCTATTTAGGAAAACTTCTTACAAAACAAACACAATGTCTTAGAATTTAAACCCACATCTCGGCAGTGACCCTAAACTGCACTCTTAACACGAAATCCACTTGGCTGCCATGCGATATGGAAGCAGACCTATTTTTGGAAGAAGTTACGATGCAGACCGCGAGACATACTGAAGAAACGATCTAGCGAAGTACCCTCATCTACAACGGTAAAATAGTATTAAGGTTTCCAGCAGGCCATTTGTTTCTATCAGACCGAGGGCAATTTGGTGTCATCAAAAAGTGAAGTACCGCTATTTGAATGGGCTTCAGTGTTACCAACATCAAATCTCATCAATGCCCTGTTCAATAGCTTAAAAAAAACCATCCTCATTTCATCTGCCTATTTCCAAGGTCATCCCCCCACCCCAAAGTATTAGATAAAACACCTATAATCAGGAATCAGGTCATTTACCTGCCCTCCCATAAAACACAGTGTACTAGAAAGAAGGTCCTCAAAATTTCATGTAATTAAAAAAACAACAACAAAAAAACAAAGCCAAAACAAAACAGCAACAAAGCCAACACACAACACAACACACAACACAACTCTGGTCATCGTTTCAACAGAGCTCACTCTATACAAAATGTCATCAAAGGTTTTAAATAAATATAACATCTTCCAATACAAGGGTTAGCAGTAACGCGACAGGTAGATTAAACTCCATATGAGATAGATGATATGTTAGACTCCTGTATACAACTTTATTATGGTTTATTTTATGTTCTCTACCTTCTCCCCACACTTGCAGCGATCTCGTTAGTAAAAACAAAGAAAGTGCACCTGCCAGATTAGCGGCCGGTGGGAGATGGGGATCATTCCAGAAGTTCAAAACTGACTCCTCAAATACAAGTAGCAAATAAAAAAAAAAGTAAACAAATATTTGTTCACAAAACTCAGGCACAAATTGAGGAGAAATACTTATAAAAAAAAAAGAAAGAAAAGTGTACACAATTCCTTTGTGCCTTCCCCTTTGTCTTTCACAAAACGCATAGTGTATCCGTCCTGTTTAATTAGGTCAAGATACCAAGGATGTCAAAATTAAGCACGTCTGCTGCTAAAAATAGCCACCAATCATGGAGCGTCAGATAATAAGCACATTCACACCATTATAACTTTCTGTTGCCGTTAAGCGCCCATGTTCGAACAAAATGGCGGCCACTTTACTGAGATGAAAACCACAAACGTTGAAACTAATGCCGTTACTCATCACTTGTTACCCCCCCCCCCACACACACACCCATAAACCATTACTCGTATCAATGCCGAAACTAGTGAAGTAATATTACTTCACGCAACATACACGGTGTGATCGTGACAAGATAACCATGCATTCAAAATCAGTTGAACCTGGTCGAATTAAATACTGAAGTGTCAAGTGTCCGGTGAGCAAGAGATGGACGAGGTTTGTTCCGCTAGTATTGCACGCTTGCAGAGTCTATACCAGAGGTTCTTTGACTTTTGAGCGCCTCGGCGCCCTTGAGGCTTCCAGTTTTTTTTTTTTTTAACCCAAGACGCCAAAGTCAAATTTTAACAAACGAAAAGCTATATTAATAGCGAATTTGTTTCACTTCTCGGCGGGGAAGACACTGCTAACAAGGGCACAGTGTGAAAACCTCTGGTCTACAAAATTAAAAAAAAAAAAATCCCTTTCACACAAGGCAACAAAACACAAAAGGAGAAAAGACAACGAAATCACATTTTAAAATATTTACCAGTTTAACGGTACGGAAACCCCAGGTGCTCTTTATCCTCGTCAAATTATGTATGAGACACTTGGATTGGACCATTTATTTTGGGAGTGTGTGTGAGTGTGTGCGCGCGCGTGTGCGTGTGTGGCGAGTAATAATATGGAACACCATTTTGGTAATTGTAGCGATTCTATCCATTCCCTTTAACACCTCATTTCGGACCCCCGTATCGGTTATAAAATCTTTTCACACATTGTTGCAAAGTCGGCAACAAGCCACTCCTAACGGCGTCATACATTGTTACTTTCTCACATGAATACTTCCCATCTCAAATGCACTGCATGCACTAGGTAACATAAAGCAGAGAGCATCTCTATAACCATGTGTACATTTGTTCATCGAGTAGATTAAAACTGGAGGGATACAATCATAGGTTAGAAATGGTTGGTATAAGTATAAGTATTGAACAGGGACAAATAAAAAAATAAAAATAATCATTTGTAAATATGAAAAGATATGCAAAACATGAACTCATGAATATGAGTAGATTATCATCATGAACGAAACAAAATACAAATCGCCTTCTTAATGCTGGTTACATTCTTGGCAAGGAATTAAGACCCCCCTCCCCTCCCCATAAAAAAAAAAAAACAAAAAACCAACAACAACAGAACTGTCTTCAATTTACGGGCAAGTAATTTTTTCCCAACACACATTAGTAATAAACAAAACAATAAATTGTTATTCACGTGATTCAAATCATAAAAAAAAACCACAATGAGATTATGATTAAAACAACACGCAGGCCTACTCAACATCTGCACCAGAGTACTCCATTACTACAGCAATGTAACACATGGCAGACACTGCCTTCCTTTTTAAATGTTTTAACATTTAGATCTCAACACAAAACTGAGACGTACATGTAGGCCAGATTCCCACCCCCTCCCCA